GCAAAACTCCAGCTTATAAGTCAACCAGACCGCATATGTTGTCAGCACGAGCAGCATCGCAGCCCAATGGGGACAGCGTGGTGGCCGCGCAGCCCACCTGGAAGTGGCCGCAGCAGTACTCACCTGCAGTGCGCACACCGCATCCGCATCCGCATCCGCATCGCAGCGCCCAAGCAGCAGCAGATGCAGCGGCAGCAGGTGATGCCAGGGCTCCGGGCGCTTCTCGTCAGGCCAAGAGTCCATCTGATCCTACAGTCACGATCGCTGCTGCATGCGTCGAACTGTTAAACGGCATCTTCTTATCGGGGCCTTGTCGTGGTGGCAGTGGTACGGCTGGCAGCCCTTGTGCTCGGTGTGGCAGCAGTAGATCTTCTTGTGGTAGGACCTAAGCTTTCATGGCAAAAAACCTCTCACCAGCGCCTCGCACCTCCGGGCACCTCTAGGCACTTCCCTTGGGCTGTGGCCACCCGTGCTCCCAGTTGGAGTAGCCGGCGTCGCAGTCGTAGCCGCCTTCGCCCGCAGCATGGCCAACCACGGTGTGCACCACCTCGCAAGCCCCAAAGCCACGATGAAGATACGTTGCCCGTCTTGCCCCTCCCCCTCCCAAGGCCCAAACGGTGTGAGCATGCCACTGGCCATGGGCGTCGCCAGGACAGCCCAGATGGTCGTGTTCCTGTCCATTCCATCATTCGCAAAGCCCTTCTGTGTACAAGCCCGAAAAGGAAATCAAGTATTTTCAAGCCGAGTAATCAGGGTCTTCGGTTCTGTGACTTGCAGGCAAGAGCAAGCAAGCGAGCCGGGAAAACGCAGCACCAGGACTTCTTGACTTTGGACCAGCCGTGGTACCAGTTGGACAAGCCGGCGCGGCAGTTCTCAGTGCAAGTCCCCCCTTGGTCCCTTCGCAAGCAGCCACTGCGGCCGAGCGGCGTAGTGCTTGTAGTGGTGCACAACCGTCACGACGTGGTTATGGTGGTGCCAGGATCCTGCTGACCATCCAAAGCCCTTCCCCCCAGTAGGCCTTTCATCCGTGGCCTGGGCAGCCCCGCTGCTGATGGTCGCAGCACCAGTGCTTCCTGAGCCCCGTGCACTCTCGTTTACGCTTCACCCGACATTTGCCGACAAATTTCGACGTAGGAAAGCGGCTTCGCGCTGGACCAGGTGTAGTACCACTTGTCAAAGTGGGAGTCACAGTCCTCAGGAGCAAGTGAAGAAGTGGCCCCATCGTCCAGCAATGTTCCGCATCAGATTGCCTCATTTTATCTCATTTTGCGTGCCGAGCCGCATAGTCCATCACCGTGACAACGTGCACCTTGTACTTGGGAACGATGTGAGGCGGCGAGGGCACCGGGACGTGCACATAATGGCCTTTCGCATGCATGCTTGGAGAGTGGCCCCGTTCGACACCTTTCCTCCGCGCATGGCTTCCGCCCTGAGCAGGCCACTGCGGCCGGCGATCTTGACCGTGTAGGGCTTCTTCACGGTGATGACCTGCCAGGCAGCACTGCAGCCCGCGACACCGAGCGGCATGGACTCAAGCAACTCCTTCCATGCGCCTGGGGAGGCTGCCGCACGGGGTACGGCACGTCCTTGTTGACCATGACCTGCACGGGCTGATGCTCTGGCAGTTCGGCGATGCAAGGCCCAGGATCCAGATTACGGCTTCCTTCCTTCCGGGCCCCGCGCGTGATGGACCACGGTGGGCCCGGGCACCGGCACGTGCACGTACTTCGGCGGGCTCGGGATATGGTAGACTTGCGGGATGTTGTGGATGATCTCGGCACCGGGACAGCGAGCACCATAGCTATAAGCGCGGCAGAACTTAAAAAATCACGGGCCATTTTTTGCCCAAGCCAAGCAACTGGAGGAGGGCGCGCTGCTTGGACCGGCACCGGCACATGCACCCGCCTGGCCATGTGACGGAATCTCACGGACAAGCGGACTAGCAAAACCGCGCACAACCCTCCCCCAAAGCTTCCAACCTGAGACCTGGCTACGTGAAACTTTCCGTGCTCGCATATGCAAAAGTCTGCTGCAGAGTGGCTGGATCTTGGTCACATGGTGGTAGATGTTGCGGTTCACGACTTGCTTCGGGCAGTACTGACGCAGGAGCAGCAAACCATATACCCTTCCAACTGATTGCAGGCTGCGCGGCTTCAAAACTGACCTTTGCAGCCCTGTCCTCTTTGTACTTGTAACAGCACCACCGCGTGTGTGGGCCGGACCATGTCTTGTAAGCGTAGTTGTCTCCATCGAAGCAGTCGTAGTGCGCGTTGGGCTTCTGGGCGGGCAACAAGCATGATTCGAGGTCAAGGCTGCGTACAGCATGCAGCTTATGCAGACTTATGCAGACTTATGCAGCTTATCTCTCCCGAGGCCCTTGCGACCACGTGGACCGTGTGGACGATGGGCGGCGCCTGCGGCATCTGGACCTTCACCTGTCCGCGAGCGTAGTTCGCTCGAATGATGACCGAATGCTGAACTTTGCAGCCAGGTCGCGTAGTGGTTCACTGGCACCTTCCTGCGCCACCAGGCCAAGCCCCCCCAAGAAGGACAGGACGCTCTCTGCGCAACAGCACTTTCGTTGGCCCTGGGTTTCGTTGGAGCTTGGAGTCCTGACCACCGTGTTGTAGTGGCGGCGGACGACCTCGTGGTAGTGCGGAGCCTGCACGCTGAGGTTGCTGCGCAAGTCTGCGGGGATGTGAGGGCTCCACGCTCTCTTCTCCGTGCCTCTGTGACGGGGTCCGCGCAGGAGACCCCGCAAGTCAAACAGCAGCTGCTGTCCTGCTCAATCGGGCATCATGCGCTTGGGCCTGCGCCCAACGACGGCTCTGGGGCCCCCTGCAACGAGTCCCGGCACCACGGCGCCATAGCACGGATCTCGGCTCATATTATAGCACTATACGGCACAACGTTGGCAGCTCTGGACAGAGGGCAGGGGCGCCAAAACTTGCAGTCAAGGCACCGCACGGATCAGCCGCGCCCCTGATCACGTCCACATGCACTGCAGATTCTACTTGTGACTTCAGGCAGAGGTCCCCGCGCACACACCTCACCGGTAAAGAACGAGCGCACCTGACGTGGTCGGCAGATCGGGGCCCATGTGGGTGGCGATGCGACAGATGCGCGAAACTTCGCGCAGGTCGTTTGCGCCGGGGGCCCGGACGGGGCAGAAGAAGAGCAGCGGGAGGAAAAGCAGCGGGCCTTGACACTGCGCGTGGATGCGGGTTGCGGGTGGAGGTGGTGATCAGAAGGATGACGCGCTGACGCGCTGGGCTCTGTGATGCTTTGTGCCGTGAGGTGCCGGCACAGCAAGCAGAGCCAGCAGGCAGGGCGGCACCTGCGACAGAGATGAGTCATCACTTGGCGCGCTCCAACACACATCGCAATATCCAAAATTTAAACACACTTTTTCCAGTCCGCATGCCTGTAGCCGTAGGTGGCGCTCTTCTCCTTGGAGTAGCTGCCCTGGCCTGACTGCTGCGAGTTTTGGGAATCGTTGGGAGAAGGATTGAAGGGATTGTCGCCTGCGCCGACCTCCACAAGCCTCGTCTCCATGTTGCCCATTCCTGGCGCTGACCGTGGCTTGGTAAAGCCTTTATTCTGTGGGCAGGTGCTGCATGCGATCCACCCTGATAGGAGTCAACTTGTGCCTTTAGATGTTGCTACGGAAAATTGTCAAAAGTTCCCTTTGCTCCTTCTGGGTAGGGGAAGCCTCCTGACCCAAAGCATGGTTTCTGGCAGGACTCACACTGCATAAAAGCCGCGTCATGTAGTGTACTTAATTCTCAGGTCGGGGTTCAGTACATCCACTTTGCAAGTGCTGCGTGATTCAGTGGACATCGAGAGGCCTGAACCGACATACTTGATGTTCTCATTGCTGCCGTCGGTGTAGCGCTCATAGAACATGTCTTAGGAGGCCGCCACTTGACCAGACGCCGCTACTGTGAAATATCGTGATGAAAGGCCTCTGCTATATTGATTGCTACCAGCATGCAACATCCTGCAACTGAGTCCAGTACTGAAGAACCAGCCACCTCAGAGATGCGCAACAGTCGCGGCAGTGAATGGCTGGATGATCCCTGATGCTTCTAGATCTTCTAGGATTTTAGAAGACTGCCAACTTGATCAGGGAAGGGTTGCGTCACCGAACCGGCGCCTGCACCACCACCGCCCCCAGCAGCGCCGCCTCCAGCAGCACCCCCAGCACTTGAACTCACGACAAGACCCATGGCTTGGGCTGCTTTGCAGCTCAAACAGTGGGTGGGTTGTAGCCCAGCTTGCAAAGAAGCTGCCAGATGCTGCCAGAAAAAAAGGGCTACGGCTGCGGAACAAAGCGGCGTCCCTCTGCCTCTTTCCTCAAATGACAATGAAACCCCTTGCTGCATGCGGTGTTTGCACAGAACATGGATTACAAGATGACTCGAGCGGCAGATCTTGATCTTAGCTGAGACCATGCGTTTTTTGTCCATGCGAAGTCGAAGCTGGAGTCGCAAGCAAGCACACAGTTCGGCACAGGCAAGCTTTGCTGCGTGTGTCAGCATTTCAACACTGAAACCCGGTTTGTCTGCCAGCAGTTCTAGGTCGCAAATGAGGAGCGCAAAAAATCTGCATACACTGCAAACTTTTTCGGCTAGAAACGGCGAGAATGCAAGGATGCCGTAGATACTGTAAGGACTGAGAAAGATTACTGCGCTTCTACGATCCGCGCTGGCAGCTGGCAGCTCGCGGTGCAAGCAAAGGGAGAGACAGCTGAATGTGCTCAATGCGGTAATGTGGCAAGGTGAAAGTGCTCTTGCTGAACTCAAGAAATCATTCCAGCTTTTGTCTTGATCTCAGATCCTTTCAAACAGTCTCCGCCCGCAGTTCCATGAGCTAGGGCGCTTCTAGCTTTCCAGCAACCTGCGTTGACATAATGATGCAACGAATGCCTGCAACTTTCTCTCCAAGAATCACAAGCTGTCGACGCAGGGACCAGCAGTCTATGTCAGTCTTATGAAACCTTGGCCCTGGCTCGCAGTCAGCTGAGATGCTCGGGCCCTGACCACCCAGCGACATGCACGTGCTTTACACTCTCAGCACATGATAGCGGTGACATGGACAGAGAGCACAATGCAATGGTCCTGCAACTCGGGGACTTTGATGCAGAGGGGCAGCCGAAGGCTCCTTGCAACGCGTGTGAAATCCCCTGCAGGTTTTTTGCATAACGTTCGATGGTCCTTTGAGGGCTTCTCACTGCTTGGCATCAGCCGCATCCCGCGCGTGGTGGAGGGATCCCCGGAAGGATCCGTGGTGGACAGTTCCGTGGCCAGAGCTGCTGCTCCAGGAGCTACTGTGGTGGAAGGATCCGCCATGTACGGATCCATGGCTGGAACCGCTGCTCCACGAGCTGCTGCTGTGGTGGAAGGAGCCGCCATGGCCAGAACCACTGCTCCAGGAGCTGCCGTGGATGGAGCCTCCGAAGGAGCCACCGCTGAGGTCACCGTCCGCGCCCATGTCATCGCTGAAGCCCGGCGGCAGCGAGGCATCGTCCCCGCCGACGAAGCCGGGTGGGAATGAGGCGTCGTCACTGCTAAGGTCTGTGCCATCCGGCAGCGTGGCGTCGTCCCCGCCGACGAAGTCTGGTGGCAGCGAGGCGTCGTCACCACTGAGGTCCGTCCCATCCGGCAGCGTGGCATCATCGCTGTCAATGTCGGGCACGGCATCACCG